ATGCATCTGTACGTTCACACCTGCTTTATGATCCTATTAGTATAGACTGAGAGATCATTAAATAATTCGGAAATGAGATGAAAGTATCTAGTGGTTAAGTAATCACATTTAATTGCGTTGATGCGCAAAATCTTTGAAGAGGAATTGAGATATCAAAATTCCTCCTGCTTAGAATATTACGCGGTTTAAAAGGAATTGGCGGGAGACTTCTCGTAGAAACCTATCTTTTACATTTTATTGGAAAATTAAAAATATCAATTTTAAAATAACTTTATTTAGAAGTAATCTGTTTACAAAATAGACTTGATAAAAATAAAATAATATCCAATTTTGAAGAAAAAGACAAAATACCTTATTAAACAATTTATTATCAGTAACCAAATTTTTCATTATTTCAAATAACTGTTATACCACTAGATTGTGCTCTTTAAGTATTTTTTTATCAAGACCTTTTAATCCGTGTATAGGAATACAACGTATTTCGAGACGAAAGTGGATAACAGTGTATCACATGCTCAACACATTTTAGACGAATAATTAATTACTATATAAAAATCTTTTTTTTACGCTTGTACGCGTATAAAAGTCGATGATAATATCAACGACTTTGAGGATTTCCATTAATGTGGAATTCTTTCATGACATTATTGCGATATCGATCTCGTTAGCGTTATCTTAGAAACTGCTTACCATTCCACACATAGAAACCGCATGCAAAAAATTGTTTTTATCAAGGCCGATAAAACTGACGCATTATTAATTAGACAAGGCATTTGACTCCATAAAAAGTCACGATATACGAAATGCTTCTGAGTTACATTTGGTAAACAGTCGTATATATAGTTTGTATAAAACAAATATTTATTGTGCCAACGTTTTCTATTAACTTGATATTATTAAGTCAGGTAAACACCTGAGAGTACGAAGAAAAAAAAAAGAAAGTATGAAGTAGGAAATTTTAAACAATATATACAACAGAACATTTTGTTCTTCAGCATAATCAAGTTCGTGAAAAAAATATTGCTTCATAGATAACAATACATTGGCGTCCAGAGGCTATATACTGAATCAGAATTACACGAGATAATGCTATTATGCTTACAATTAAAAAAAATAAAAACACAATATAAAGCGTGTTTCGCTGCCATTCGTAATGGAAGATTTGCTTGGCCTTCGGTCAGCATAATAACCGAGGACCAACCTAGCTTATATTTTTTACCAATGTTTGAAATAGCGTTTAATAGACACGATTATTGAAAATTGTAATCTTTCATTGTAGTTAGACTGTCCCGTCATATAATAAATGGAATAAAACATTAATATCGTCTTACATAATTCCCACAAATATTACATAATTTTCAAGTGTCTTTGAAGATTCCATTGGAAACGATCATTATTGTTATATGATAAAAGATTCAATAAAAATTGATTCATATTCATTCAAAACTAATAGAAATGGAATATAAATATTTAAACAATTTAATACATATATTTGAGACCGCGATATTTAATTTACAACATACTCTTTACAGCAAGTATTATTTAACAGTAAGAGTACATATTTCATTTTCTATATTTATAATAATCTAGTATATTGTTAGAAAGCATTTAATTAATTGAAACAGTTGGTGGGTTCGGAATAGGATCAAACTCGCCAACACTCTCCATATATTGAACATCTTTACGGTACGCTTTCAACTCATAGTGCATTCGTGATTCCATCGACGTTAGCGCAATGCCAAGATCTTCTAGAGTTGGCAATTTATTTGATACTACGTCAGATATAGCTTCCTGCAAAACGCAATGCCAAATTTAATAACATTGTTTAATTTATCATGTAATTCTAATTTTATTAGAGTTTACGCTTTCTCTTATACGAAAATTAAAATATACCCTTTCCAAATTTTCCCACTGTAAATTTCCGAGTGGATACGCAGGACTTAAGTATTCGTTCAAAGTAACTTTAAGTTGGAAAAGTGGAGCGTATTTTAAGTGTATTCTTTTGTAGCCATCCTGGACTGGATCGCGTATCCGTATTCGATGGAACCAGTCAAGTAATTCAGACAGTTTATAACGTCTCGGTCTACACAAACAAAATATTCACATTTTGCAAAAACAATTATAATAACGATACATTTGTACAAGTGTACTCGTTCATACCCAACAAATTGATAAGTTTTGCCAGCTGTATTTCTAGGATCTCTTGCAATAGCCGTAATACCTCCGGCGACATCGTATACAGCTACTGGCTGTTTTTCCGTCTTTTCACCCTTTTCCCATAACGGTACAGTTCTATAAACAAATTGCATTGTCAAAGATCATAAGAGTATAATTTTTAATATACTAGGAAATTCATTCCTATGCAAAATTACCTGAAATGATGTCTCAATATGCCAGAATACAAACTTAAATATCGATCTTCATGACCCCATATATTCGCTGGCCGAATAATTGTAGCCTCGGGAAACTCTTCTCGCACTGCATGCTCGCCTTCCCATTTTGTACGAAGAAATTCAGAGCCGCCTTTCAATACATGTGACTTAATACAGAAATATTATTAAAGCATGAAATTGTTAAATCATAAATTAATATAGAATAGAAATATGATTTAAAACTTACCTCCACCTCGTCACCCACATTTAACGCAGACACATGAATAAAGTGCTTAACATTAGCTTCCTTGCACAGTCTAGCGAGTCTTCTGGCTCCCTCAACATGCACCTCGTGAAAAGTGAAGTTTTTAGTTTCCCAATCTCGTCCAATTAGATTGACAACGACATTGGAGTACTTGATACATTTTCTTATTGATTCATCATCACGCAGATGAAACGGATGAAACAAGATTTGTCCTAAATCTCCACTGAGCTTCAGACGCAAGCAATCATACATATCACCTCTGTATGGTATTATTAACTGCAAATCAAACATGACAATCAAACAGCTGATTATATTATGTTTCAGTTATATTATTATATTACAATCGAAATTGCTATCACTATAGAAATTGCTATTGTCAGCTTCCTTTATTTTGTAAATACCTGAGTACCAATCTTGCCAAGGCGATTGCACACATAGCGTCCGACAAATCCACTTGCACCAAACAGCGTGCATACTATCCCATTGAAGGAACTACGGCCACCCGTGCCTCTCTTTAAAGAAGCTGTAGTGGGATCTTTGATGATTTCTGGTTGGGACGAGTAATGATTCATCTGCACCGCAACGGCCGCGATGCATGTTGTCTGCTTTCCTGAAATATACACAAAACAAATATAAAATTAACTCTGTTTGGTTACATAATTACGAAACGCTATCTCTGTCACACAATGTACATATAAAAGAATTATAGGCAATTTTATATAAAACATTATTGTACTTCGATTTTGGGAAAGAAGATAAATATTACAAAAGATGTAAAAAATATGACGATCTTACTTGCTGCTTGTAAAGTATACCTCGGAATCAAGGCGGCCATCTTTCTTGGCCATCCATATGGACTGTGCATTCTGCGGATTGTGCCACTGTGCGCCGTGTGGACTGTGAAATTCTTTGACGTGCAAAGGTAACTCTCTCTAACGTTGAAATAATATATATATATATATATATTATTTTTCAAAAGATTGCTTAAATGAAATGGACCAAGTGATTTAAAACCGCTCAACAGGAAAAATTATATATTATATAAAAATTTACTCCAGTTTTATGTCATATGCCTTTTCTCAATTGTTAAATGATCTCTTTATCTTTTCTTTTCGGTCCATGTTTTTCGTAAAAACAAATAGTACAATAAATACTTTAAAATTTATAATTGTCTAATCAAATAATATTTAATGGTATTAATTAAACAAAATGATGTTGATTATATATATTTTTAGGATATGTTTTTCAGCATAAGAGTGTTATAATTCGTATTACGTTTTGTCGAATCTCCAAATATTGAAAATTAATTGGTTATCAGAAAAAATAAATATTTAGAAAATATATTTCTGTGAGAGGTAACAGTGACTAAAAACCGAATTTAAATTTCGCAATCTTTTAAAAAATATACATAATTTTTAGATGCAGCCACAATAGAAGGAATAAGGAATTAGGAATAAGGAATAAAGATTTCAACCTATCAGAAACCGGATACACTGAAATACACGGTTTCTGATAGGTTGGAATCATTATCCCTTATTCCTAATTCCTTATTCCTCCTATTGTGGCTGCGTCGTCAAGCCTATTCTACAATGTGCTTTCTGTTTTCTGCTTTTTGCTATTTTTTTACATCTTTTTGTTTCTTATTCGGTTTTTTGTTTTGTCGCCCGAGATAAAAGTTAAACAAACTTCAGAAGAAGCAGAAAACACATAGTAAGAAATGCACTTGTCGATAAAACGATTGCAAAGGAGGAAAAAGCAAGAAGTAAAAAGCAAGAAACAGGAAACAAAGAGCACATTGTAGAATAGGCTTTAGGATGAGTTCTGGAACACAATTGGTCCGTTTTTTATTGCTGCACTCTGAACCGGTGCAATAAGTTGAAATGAAACAAACGTATATTTGTTTCACTTCAACTTATTGCACTGGGTGTACCAGTTCAGAAAGTGCAGTAATAAAAAACAGTCCTAATCGCACAAGCAAAAATAAACGACTTCGTTTGGAAAAGTACATTACAAAAAAGTTCAAAAAATATCCGATAGAGGACTCTGTAAATAAATGAATTACTCCGCGTTCCAAAGCTCATCGAAAATAAACGCTGTACTGCGTTCCATGATCTATCAAAAGGTTTTTAATGTTTATCTTTTTTTATTGCTATGTTGAAAAGCGCGAAATTTGAAACAGATTCAGTTCGCATCCTATTCTAGTAATTTCGAAAAATTTTGAGGTTACCAGAGGTTACCAAAAGACGCATACTCAATTTCGATTATCTTCTTTTTAATTACGTTCTATTTATATAATAATAATTTGGACAAACTGTTCTGTGCGATATAAAGACTGACATTAATATTTTTAGAGTAAGTGGAGAGACTATGTATTTCGCAAGTATTCTGCCAGTAAATGTCTGACGGATTCCGATTTTTTGCAATTGTTTGGTTATAAAGCAGTAAATAAATGAAATAAGCCAAATTGACAAACAAAATTACAGTAATAACTTTCGTTATCATTAGATGTTCTTTATGTATGTATTGCTTGCCAATTTGTAAACAGTACTTATGATCTTCTGTATCTACCTAATTTATGTATACTTATATGTGTGTATATTGTATTATTTTTTGTAATTTCGCATGTAATCTATCGTAATTAGTTGTTTTTAAAATATCGAGGCTTTTGTGATATCTTCAATAATTGTTTTATGATACGAGATGTATATTGCTATATTGCAGTTAATTAAAGGGACACAATCACCATGACTACGGCAGCTGTGTATAATTACATGAAAATGCAAAATAGACCTTACAGCGTGAATGATGTAGTCATGAATTTACTTAATGAACACAGTAAAACTGCAGTTCAAAAGGCTATGGATGAATTGGTGAAAAAAGGAAAATTGTTCGAAAAAGTAAATACAAGTTTATAACTTTTGCAAGAGTATAATACTTAATATGTATGTTTTCATTTTATCCTTAGGTTTATGGTAAACAGAAAATATATTGTCTTGTGCAAGATTCACAGTATGATACTGATGAGTTAATGAGGATTGACAAGGAATTACAAAGTCATGCCAGTGAAGTCGAAACTAAATATCAGGAAGTCATGAAAGAAGTGAAAGAACAAGAGACACTTTTAGCTTCTCTAAAGTCAAGTTTAACACTGGAAGATGCTCAAAAAGAAAAAAGTACTCTGCAGGAAAATGTAAAGCAGTTAACACATAAATTGGATAAATTGATGGAAAAAAGTGGTTCTGAAGATTTGCAAGAGTCTAAACGAAAGGCACAAGAGAATCTAGATGAATACTCACGCGAATATTTAAAAAGAAAAAAGATATGCGTTGAAATATTAGATTGCATTTTGGAAAGTTATCCTGGTAACAAAGATGAGCTTTATGAGGAAATAGGCATTGATTCAACGACTGTGTAATATTCAATGATAAAGATCTTGGTTTACGAAGGTTTTGGAGTTGTAATTATTATTCAGTATTTATTTGTTATTTTAGTTTCTTATATGTAAAATCATATTTATATTTAATGAATAAGTGAAATGTTTTGTGTTGAAATGATTAATATAATTTATGTATTATATGAGTTTATTTACATATATGTATGAAAAAAGTGTATATATAAGTTTATTGCAAAAATTACATATAAAAACACTCGTGCTGAGTTAAATAGAATTAGTTTAAGTTGCTAAGGATATTCTGCAATATTATTTAACAATTTTTAATTATAGCAGACAAATCGACATTTATTTTGTGTGTTTATATTTTTTTTTTACAGTATTGCATTACACAGGGCATTTCAACATTATTATATTTTCTCTGATTATGGATATTAATATTCAAGCCATCAGTACAATTAGTTGTATTTCCACAGTTTACTTTAAAGTTTGTATTTAGATTGTAGGATAATGAAAATATTGAACACTTTTAATTTTGACAATTTAAAATTAAATTTCGCTGAAAACTTAATTTGCAATTGAGAATCTAATGTAAAAAAATCTGCATTATTAATAAATTTGTAACATTAAGAAGTAAAATTTTTGTTTGTCTAATTATGTGTAACTAAAAGGGAACATCATAGTTTAATTTTTTGTATGTGAAATATTACAGTATTTTGGTATATGTATCTTCCTCTACATTTGCAAGCATAAACTGCTGTGTATAGAGGAGCGAAAAAATTCAATCAGGATATAACATATTCTTAAAGGAATATCCCTTTTTATTTTTATATAGTACTCCCATTTTAGTAATTAGAGCATAGACATATCAGCGTGTATGATTCCCTGTAAAATAAATTCAATTAAATATAGATTATATATTATACCAATTAAATATAGAATATAAATTAGAATATTTCTTTGAAAGAGAAAGAATGTTTATTTAATTGTTTATCTTGTGTTATGAAGTTTGATCTTGTGCCAGAAAATTGAGTCCAGATATCAAAAATTAAAGAATCAAATATGATTATAAAATTATTAATAATAAAAAAAGATTAAATGTTAATTTTCGTTAGTAATATAATTTCAATGAATTTCGGATGGTATTAGCATTATAAAAAAATATAGTTTCATTGAATTGATTTTACCTTGACAACATTCATATTTATTATAACGCGAAGAGTTTCTTCTTTAATTTGTTCTTCAGTGATTTCAATAAATTCATCCATGGAATCTTTCTAATCGCTTGAAAATTGAATTTCGGTAGGAATTTTTCGAGTAATTTCCTCTTTTCTTTATCCTTTTCTTTGGTTAATATTCCTTCAAGTACACATTTGCCATTCAGACAGATCTAGAAAGGTATTAGATAAATACATTATACTGTATAGCGCTAATATATATTATAATTAATTAATAATAATATTTGTAATCATAATTTGTACAGTAAGTATTTCTTACAATCTTATTTTTACATTATTAATAATAACAGCTATTTTTTAAGAAATTCAGTATTCAAAATAAAAAAAAAAGATAATAAAACTCACCAAGCCGTCACCACAAGAAGAACCTTCCGCTGCTGGCGCGGTCGCTCTGCAGTAGCCCTCAATTCCAGGATATTCACAGTCCAAGCGAATACAGGCCGTGGTGTCTTTCTATAAAGAAAATGTGCATCTTTAGCTTACATTACACGCCGCTGTTCCGAAGACCTTGTTACACTGATCATCCAAGGACATCAAAGTCCCGGGCAAAATACGCGTCACAGGTTCGCCCGTTATGGGCTTGTTGTAAAGACACTTTGCCCTATCTTGGCTAAAATAAATCAATTCTTAAATTAATACCTTTTATTTAAAAGAAATATGCTTACGTTCGTGCCATATGTACTTGATGAAATTATAGAAGGCGTTTATGGTGCACGGGGACCATTCGAAGCCATTCTCATCCAACATCAGTCCGCTGGTCATGATGAAACCATCATTAGCCGGACAATCTCTGGCGCCCTTCGGATTGCCATCGTGACGTGCCCCTATCCTACAATGTAAAAAAATCTTTTTATTATCGAACTTTCAAATTCAAAATTGAATAACTAAATTTATACGGTGAAATATTATGTATCTTTTTCTTCCTTACATATATGTATACTATTTTTAATGACAGAGAAGCTATAATTCATATGTTTCTCGTTTAGATCGCGTAGAATTAAAATCTTCTTTCTGACCAAAAATTGTAAATACAATTCTTTATGAGCTTCTTTCTACATCGACAGAAAAAAACTACAAAATGCATACAAATATATTAACTTACAGATGGCCGACTTCGTGAGCAGTTACGATGATACCGGAAAATCCACCGTTATCTTCAATCATTCCTACGGCTTCGGATGATTGTTTTGTTGCGTTTCTGTCGCATGCACCGGCTACGTATGCGTAACCTGCAGCCGCAAAATTTATCATTATTTCATATTTTTGCAAAGGATTGTAATTAATAATACACGGAAAGAGCCGCATTTGTCATATAATACATTATCTTGGCAGACTTACCCAAAGTCGATGGCTCGCAATAGTCATCAGTAATCATATTGCACAAATCTAGACTAAAATTGTATCGGATTGTATTATTATTTTTGTCTATGTGTGTTATGGTTTTTAAGTGATTCTAGAAATTGAACAAGCAAACATATATAGGAATTACCGAGTACTTACTTTGTCATAGCGATCGCTATGTCGTAAAAATCTGTTGGGAATCTACTCTCGCGATAGAAGTAATCTCCCATGTTGAGTAGAGCACGATCCGCATCTAGGGATGAAACTTCGAAACGATTGTTTTCTAAATATGGAGTTGCATCCTTGTCCTAAAATATAACGAAATGTTACGTTAAAAATAATATAGATATATATTAAATATATCAAATATGTTACAAATATTACTTAACTCAGAAATTATCTTCTTTTAAATTTTGATGTAAAATAATTAGAAGATATTTATATGTGATAACACGTGTATTTGAATATAATGAAGGATTTGAATGTAGTAGAGACCGGGGCCAGTTGTCACAGTTTCTGATTAGTTATTTTTAGAAAAAAGAGTAGATGCCCGATTTTGAAATATTATGTACGTCATAATATATACCTACATATTTTAGGTTTAAAAAAAAATATTACTCGTAAATTCATTATCGTAAAAATAAGTTATTTAATTTTAAATGAAGCTGCGAAAATGTGACAATTAACTCCGTGTTCTGGGTTGATTGTCACACGTTCTAGGATTGGCAGTAGCATATTTGTTATGGACAACACATATAAAAAATACAATTTTTATTTTAATATCAGTTCTATATTTTGAGAAATAATAGTAATTACGGTATTAATTCAAATAAAATAGTTATTTTAATTATAAAATACGTAATTTGTTCTTTGTACCATAGTTTCTATATGAAAAATGAAAAAATATATATATATCTATGAAATATAATATATCTGTAAGTATATTCTCTAAAAATGCATTCTTTAAAGATATTCAAATTAATTGTTTAAACTAACTTCGTCTCGTTTTGATCAATCTATCCCACATAGTTGTTTTTAAAAGAGATTGTATTTACAAACTTTGTCAGGATAATGATTAATTAATTGTAGCACAAATCTTCTAAGATATGTCATTTTTTATGAATACAAGAATATTGCGGTTAATAATAACTTGTCAGACAACAAAATAGGTGATAAGAAAAATTTACTCAACTTCATTTTCTTAAAAATCGTTATAAATAATATATACAATGCTTGTAGCGCAAATCATTTTACACAACTTTACATAACAAATTAATATTATATCAGCAATCTACAGTTAAAAAAATAAATTTTTCTGCCACATCCTGTTTCAGTTATAAGCATTTTGACAATCAACTCCGTATGACAACCAGCTGAACCAGTCCTGGTTTCTCCTATTTGAATATTAATTAAGCTAAAACTTACAACGCTTATGATTATTCCTGCGATATTAAGCCGAATTTTCGGCGTAGTTAGCAAACGATATCTCAAATCGACTCCATTCCAAAACGAGACGAGGTATCTTATGGCCTGCTCGATATTTCCGCCAAGTAATCTGCAATAAATAGAAAAATTAATATTTTATAAAAAAAATAATGTATATTTATTATAAAATTTATGATTACTTGTTATATATAATTAACATCATATACTTTACTTACTGATATATACTGTAATCTGCTACTACTAAAATTTCTGGATAAATGATATCCGGGATATTACGTTTCACTTCTTGGCCCTCTGGATCTGTAATTTCTGAAGAACCACAAGAGTATTGAATAAGATACCTGTCCGAACGGAAATTTGAGCGAATCTAAAACGGAATGCATACGCGAAATTTTTATGTAAGTATTCAAATAGCTTACTAAAATCTTTCTGATCTGATGAAGGCGTCTTGTACACTACGTGATGATGCGTGTAAGCCAAGTCATCGTTGTTCGTCACATTCTTCTTATGAAGCGGCTCAAAGAGTTTGCGTCCTCCGTAAAGAATATGATCCAATATTCGATGCGGCAGAGATTTGATGACGTATTTATTGTTAAGCACTCCGTTCTACAGAAAGAAAAGCGTTATTGATTTACATTCATATGTATATTTAAAAAAAAGAAAAATTATTTGATTTCGATCGCAACTTTCAGATGTAATTGGAATCCTTACCAAATGAACTTGACCGTCAGGAGTAGGAGTTAACAAAACTGAGCTCGAAGTGCGTACGTCTTGAAGAATGACCCCTACAGAATCCATAGCCTACGACGAGAAGGTAATAATAAGAAAGAAATTTTTTCATAAATCTATCTCGCATATAGTATTTTTTTTTTATTATTGTAAAAGTATAAAAGTTGAAAGACACATACCTTGGGTACTTGTTTGTATTGCAATCCTTCGGGTGCTTCTGGATTAGATGAAACGGTCCATACGGGTGTATTTTTATTAGCGAGGATTCCT